TAAATGCAGGGACATTATGTCTGTCCCTGCATTTTTAAAGCAACTGTGCTGTCTAATTGATTTTTGATCTTTCTCACACCCCAGCCTCTCAGATCTGAGACTTGGTAGCAATTTGATAGCCATGGCAAGACGTGGAGAGGTCTGTAAGGTTAGTTCCAGTAGCCTGTATTTCACACCAGTGTCTTCTGGCAGAAGGATAAACCACAGACAGAGCTGACTGCAAGTTCCTGTGGCCCAGGTTTCTGGCTACAAAACTGGGAAGGATAAACACCTTCTTAAGCACTGCAAGACAGAACAACAGAAAGGAATGGAAATCTGCTCATAATGCAAAGGCTAGAAGCAATCCAGCTGGTTTGTTTTATTCCCACCATGAGAACTATGGTCAGTCCCAGTGCAAGCTTGGCCACCTGTCAGATCAAGTTAGTGAACTCAGGCTGATAGGAATTTGACACGCTCTTGTCTTGGAGCATGCTGGTATGATCAATGCAAATTCCTCCTACAGCAGTGACACAATGTGTACGCTACCCATGCAGTCGCAGATGCCCCTCATAAATCATTAAAATACCAGCCAGTTCTAATCAGATCCTTTGAGTTATAACGTAATACACTATTTGAGAACTAAAACCAGTAAATCAAGTTAGTACAGAGGTCAGAGTGAGACTGAACACAGCTGAAACTTCCTTGCTTATGTGTGTATAGTCTAAGAGACGCAAGGGAAAGAGATGAAATCCCAAGTCAGCTAAGCAAATTGCTTTCTTCTTATTGTAAAATCTTGCTACTAAGTCTGTGGAGGGGAAAAAATAGAAATTCATCATATTCTGTAGCAGAGCTGATTTGAGGTCTAGAATTTCCCAGCAATTGTGTTAGCTCTTGGGATTATAGGTATTTCTGATAATTTGTCCTCCAGGTTAACTCTTACCATTTTTCTAAAGCAAACTAGCACTTAAAAATATGTTCCCCAAATGTCATAGATCACCCACTACAAAAACAGAACATATTTTCTTCCATAGTATAGCAAACAGGTAACTTCTAATACCAAAAAAAACCCCAAAAAATCCTATTAGAAGGCAGCTGTTGTGGTTGCACTCTTCAGTGGGACACAACAGGAACATTTGTGAAGGGGAGGCTGCAGTGCCCAAGTGCTGGAAACCCATAAGTTTGTGTGCTGGGGTGCTACTGCATAGATCCAAATAATTGATGCTTTCTTTTCTGCATGGAAAAAGCTGAGGGCCATCTAAATTTTTTGAGTGTTATCTGACTCGGACGACAACATGGTATGTTGTATGGCCAAGCCCTACGGCCAACAAGCAGTCTGGCCACCATAAATGGTACCTGTCAAAGAATAACACTGAAGGCTAACTTCTCCATTTATGCTATATTTGCATGTACATTTTGTTTCCTATTTTATACTTAAAAGAGTAAATTGTTAAAAGTAACTGTTTCTTCCCTCATGGCAAAGACAGTCTGGAGCAGGGGATCCTGCTCTACTTAGGTTGTCTCATTCTCAGTACTGCTGAGTATTTCCTCATGTTTACTTTGTACTTTTCCCTTAAACCTCTCTGTCCTAAACTGGACAGAGTGTTTTTAAAGCCCATACAGCAGAGTAACTTGGCATCTGAGTTATACCTATGGAGCCATATTTCTCTAATGGTCTGCAGGGAAGGCTCTCAGAGGCCCAGTTGTGGTAGCCCCCCTTCAGTCACAAACATCATCAGAACAGGACTTTGTTCTAATCCTCTGAAAGCTTGTTATTCTGGGCAAAGGCTTACTTTTGGGAGGTGCAAGTCATATGAACTCTTGGGGTTCATGCTGGCAACTCCTGAGGTGAAACATCTGGTGATGCAAACCACTAACGGTGATGCAAAGCAGTGATCCAGAAAGTCCCCATAAACCAGTGAACAAAGTCTTCATGAGTCACTGGCTGTAAATAAAAGAGCTAGCAAAAACCAAGGCAGTAAGTAACAGGTGGGGAACAGAGTGAAACTTGGCCTGTTTGAAAGATGCACCAACAGCTTCAAGCTGGGTGCATGTATGGAGCAAGATGGATTAATGTTGTGTTTTATTTCTAATTAAACCTCAAGCAAGTCTGAATTTCTCTCAAACCTGGTGATGAAATAGTTGAAACATAGAAGGAGAAACAATGATCAGTTTCATTAGAATTGCAGCACAGCTTGGTGTGGGAACTTAATGAAGATTTGTTGGTCAACAACAATCTCCCAACTCACTTAACATGCTCTCCATTTAATTTGTTCTGCTATTGCAAATGTGAATCCCCAAAGTCAGACTCAGTTTACATGGCTCTTGTAGTCTCTGCAGTGTCAGCAGGAAGCACAAACCAAAGACTGAGAGGACTTGAGCAATGTATATTTCTCTTAACGAAACCCAAACCCAGGTGACATTTTTGGGAGAGAGGAAACAGGAAATGGAGTCCCTTTGGGGGGCAGGGGCTTTTCACAACACTCAGAAACTTGGCCCACATTTCTGGTCTCCTCCCTTTCTTCTCCACAAAGGGCTTGTAGCATTTTTAGACAAACTTGGATCCACTGTATGTTGTTGAGAGAACCTGCTGGGAAATTAGGTGACTCCTGCACTCCAGGGCAGAGGAAATGTGTGTTTCTGCTTTGTGTTTTTAGGAAAGTAGGAAGATGAAATTCAAAATAAAACACAACAGATGGGAAATCTCACAGAGACAGACACTGGGAAATGTTTAGACAAGCTTTGTTCCCAGTTCTTGAGCTCAGAATTTAGCCACTAAGCTGCAGAGAGACTTCAGAAAGACAATGAAATGCATTTTGGCTTCAAATACAGTTCCTCCAGATTCCAGCGAGAGTTGTGCACGTGAATCTGAAGGCAGAGTGTAGCCAGCAGTATGGGGAATAGATGTAATATGAGAAACTCTTATGCTATATTATTATAGTCTGAATTGTTTCCATCATTTTGGGTTAAGTAATTCCCCACTATCCACCTCTGAAGTGCAAACAGTACAGCCTTGATGTGCCCCAGGGAAAGGAAGCAAACCAGCCTTTGAATCTTTACCCAACCTTACTGCTCATATTTTGCTTTCAGTGAGTAAGTGTTCAAATCCTTTAATACTTCATTCCCATAAAAATATATTTACCAGGGGTTTTTGTGGCAGCAGTGAGGCTGTGTTTATTATTTTAGAAACACCACACGACTGGCTTTAGAGAAAAGACAAGGCAGGAGCATGGAGTGCTGCAAATCTATCAGAGAACAGCATGTTTTCCACCTGTTGAGGCAGCAACCACAGTAACAGATGCACATAATAATTACCTGTACCTCAAAGGCAGCACCAAGTCCTGCACCTTCTGCTCCCCACCTAGCAGACAGCTTGGTAACAGAATTACAAAAAAGGAGCATTGAGACAGAGTACGTAGTGCTTTGTGAAGAATGAAAAAGCAGCTCTTATTAAAAAGAAACTGGAAGGTGGAAGATGAGAAGGAAAGATCTGAGGCACCATGATGCTAAAAGAAGAGTGGAGCTAAGGAACTCCAGGAGTGTATCTTCTTTTTAGCGTGACAGGCAGGTTTCTGCTAATACCCTTTCCAAAGCTGCTTTAATTTGTACTCTCAACATTAGAGCTAATTTCTACTGACAAATAGGTGTCCCACACCCCTACTGGAGCCCATTGCTTCCCAGAGATGGCTGGTTCTGCAGTGGCAAGAGGGGCACACAGGGTAAATGCCCTGAGATCTCAAGAGACACCATGAATGACCATGACTGTGTGCCAGTACTGTGTTCCTATTCCTCTGCTGCCTGGCACTGGGATTGTGCTGGAGCTACATTTGCCCTTTTGTTTGCAAGTCCCCCAGAGCACCTGGTGTAAGAAGGGCTGGGGACAGTACGGGGAGAAAGGACACACGGCAGGCAAAATGTTTTGGTCTTTCCTGCTTAAGTGCTGAAGTTTGTAAGGGTCTTTTTCTCCTCTTCCCCCGACTACCAAAAGGAAAGTGGTGGCATTTGGCTGGATGAGGAGGAATTGGCCTCTGGAGTGATTTGTACCATGGTAGTTCCTTATTGCACAAAGGAACAGATCTTTCCTAGAAAGGATTTGTAGGGGAAATTATCTCAGGCCCCATTTAATCTTGACAGAAGAAGATGATGAGAGGACTGTGTGCTGAGTTGGAGTTTTCCTTTGAATTCCTATGGTGTTGAAGGCAGCACTATAAATAGCCACACTATCCTTTTTACCCTGGTACAATTCTATCTCCAGCTCCCCACACAGACAGCAAGTCTTCTGGTAGGTATTTAGCAGGAATTAATTTAACCCAGTCTTCTCCTTCTGTACTCTTTTACTCCAATCATCACAATGGCTTCCACAGCCATACAAGCATGTTTCCTCAATAAAAATTTTCTGAGGAGGACTGCTGACATTAAAAATCCCATTTCTGTCTGAAAATTCGATCCTAGTTATAAATAATCCATAAATAGCCCAAACGATAAAGAGTTAGTAGTAAAAAAAAAAAAAAAAAGAAAGAAAAAAAGACACCCCCCCTCGCCCCCAAACTTCTTGCTCTTTCATTTTGTTTCTCCCAGGTTTTGTTTTTGAACTACACAGCATTTTATTCATAGTCTGTTTCACATTTTCTCCAGTGTAACTGGCTGGACAGTCTCTCCTTTCCCAGGATAGACTTGTGAACATCAGCTGAGAGGAAGGAAACCCACATCCAGTGTTTCATGGCTATCATCTTAAAGATAGATCCGTCAGAAATTTAAATACAAGCCAGATTGGTATTTAAATAAAATGGGTTTGGTTTTTTAGCATCCTTTTCAGCGAGAGATCCTCAGCCTGTAAGTCCAGCTGGAAAGCAAACTCGAATTTCACAAATATTGGAGTTGCTGAGTACAAGGGCGCAGCCCTGCTCTGGCCTGGCCCTGCCGGGGGCTCGCTGCTGGCGGAGCTGGCTCTGGGGGCTTACACTGCTCGGTGCAGGCGCTGACCTCACTGGGGTTGGTTTGTAAACAAGCTTAAAGGTACTTGCCTGGTAGTCGAGGCTCCCGCGCTGAGGTGTCTTGGATTACCTTTGTTTCAGTAATACCACTCACTTTCCTCCTAACGTGCCACCTGCACAACAACTTTCTAGCCTCTCCGGGTGTTCAGTTTATTCAAAGCCTATTTTTAATTCTGTTAATTGTAACCCGAATTCCGCTACCCAGTTTGGACCCGCAGCAGCAGCAGGGCTGAGGCAGCTGCCGGGGCTGAGCTGTGGAGGACGCCGGGGCCCAGGCGGTGCCAGCGGCTCTGACCGGCCGGGGGCGCGGCCGGTGCCGGGACACGGAGCCTGTGGGCTGCCCCGCCAGCGGGGGGTGCCACGGCTGCTCCTTGCAGGGCAGCTGCCGCTCAGCCCAGCTGACAGCCGTGAGGGGAGGGCTGGCCTTAGCCCGTGTGGGGGGCACCCGGGTCCGTCCCTGCTGTGCCCTAGCCTGCCAGGCGGCGCGGCGAGACAGGGCGAGCGCCTTCCCCAGCACAGGCCCCGTATCGTCTGCCCCGGCTGCCCCGGGGCTTGACTCGAATTCGGAACAGAGCGGCCGAGGCGGGTCCGGGGCTCGGGGCTCGCTGGCAGCGCCCGCCGCCCGGCGCGGCCCCGCCGGCACCCTCCCGGGACCCTCCCGAGCGGCCCGGGGCGCCGCCCGCGCCGGGCCGACCGCGCCACCTGGCGGCGGCAGCCGGAGCCGCGGATGGGATGCGGAATGGGATGGGATGTGAGATGGGATGCGGGGTGGGATGCGGGATGGGATGTGGGGTGGGATGCGGGATGGGATGAGATGTGAGGTGGGATGGGATGTGGGGTGGGATGCGGAGAGCACCTTTGGGAGGAAAACCGTGTGCGAGACATCGCAACCTGAGAAGTTGCATTCTGTGTGTTACTTTGCTTTATAAAATACTGTTTGCAGTATTTTTACCATCAGAGTAAGCTCCAGGTTTCCAGTTGTACCAATCAGTGTTTTAAAAGCGCGGTAAGTTTGTATCCTGTGAAATATGGTTGATGTGCCCCTGTTCTAGTACCCCCACTGGCTCCTCAGCTCTGCCCTTTGCTCCAGCCTGAAAATGGCTGGTTGGTGCCTGCTTCCAAGAGGGAGAAGGATAAGAAAATGTGGTTCTGCTTGAGACTGGGAGCATCTCTACAGACAGATCCACTGTGGGGTTTCCCTGACTCATTCTGTAAATTGGAATCACTTTGTTAGATTTAATTGGTAAAGGAAACATGCATATTAAATTTTGGGTTGGGTCTGAAGCATACTTTTATTGGCTATTCCTGCTTACTGAGGTTTTGTTACCTTTGCACAGCAGCCCTAGAGCTCATGAGGTTTCCTTATGCAAGGAACTAAAGCAAATAAGTGTTCCAGTACTGCTCTACTGCTGCTCAGTAATGTCCAATCTACAGGGTTAGTCCAAAGTAAAATCCCCTGAGACATCCTTGGTATGATGGTCAGATTCTCAGTGCCAAATACTCTGCTTTGTGCTCTGTCTCCTACAGTCTGGCCCACAGAGCAGATGTAGGTATCACCTAAGAGCATTATAAAAGGTGCTGAGTTGTCTGTCCTGAAGGCAGAAATTAACCTTGTAGACAATACTGGAAATGGCAAGGAATGTTTTCCCTCGCTGCTGTGCTGTTTTTGAGTAGCCAGCTCACATAGTGGGGAGTATTCATGCCTCTGCATTCCTGAGTTTGGTACTAAGAATACAGACTGCCATCCCCAGCTGGCTTTGGAGCTGGCTTTGTGCTGCAAATGCTTGTCCGCTGGGAACCAAAAGCCAGATGTGCTTCACATAGTTTCCAGGCAGCACTGATCCATCAGATGACAGTAGCTATTGAGTGCTCTTATGGTGGCCCAGAGACACAAAGATGAAAGCCTGATGCCTGTCAACACCTCCCTTGCCATTCCTGTGTGTCTTCAGTTTTCACTTCAGTCCACCTCACAAAAGCAAATGCCACAGAATATGATGTTGCAATGTTAATAACCTTTTATTTTTGAAAAAGAAAATCCCAAGTTTTTAATTTTGAACTGCCAGACAAATTTGAACTTTGTCAAATATTTTCCTGCACTAACCTTAGCTGGGAACCCACCTCCTTCTTTAGAAGCATTTTCTACAGCAATTCCTGGTTGATTTTTAATATGGAAGATGAACAATATTTGAATGCCCTCTCAAGGAAACGTACTTACATGGAGGAAAAAAAGCTCTGATGAACAGCCAAAAGGAAAAGCCTGTAGAGATACCTGGAATAATTTCTTAGAATGGCTTATGTTGTTTCCCAGCTGCTCTGCCTTTAAACAGCCTGTTACCCCAACTCAGGAGCTCCACCAATTGTAAAAGCAAGAACTAACCAGTGCCAGATTCAAGTCTCAAAATACAAACCCTCTGAGATACAGGGAGTGAAGGGGTGAGGGGCAGGTTCATAAGAAAACTTCTAAGCATTACTGTAGCATAAATAATATGGCATCTTTCACCTCAAATAGCCTAACACTTCATAAAGTGATATGAGCTCCACTAGTTGCTGAAACACAGCTATTTCTGAAGTGGAACCTGATCTCTTTCGCTTTTTTTCTTTCTTTTTCTTTTTCTTTTTTTTTCTTTTAAACTAGCAGACAGTAATGTTTTAAGGTGGAGAGTGAAGGATAGAGTATACAACCAATCGTAAATATAAATCTAGGAAGGCTTTGCAAAATGGAAAGATCAAGCAAAATCTACTTTTATTAATAACATGCGTCCTGGTGTCCCATAAACTTGTGTCCTGAATTTATAAATGCAGTTCATCTATAAGAGATACAGGCAACTCAAACAAGATTCTGTCCTCTTTCTTTCAGCAATACTCTCTTACAGGCCTCTGATAGCAGATGCTCTGCTTCCTTTCCTCTCTTCGTTCAGTTTAATGTCCAAGACCCGGAGCTGGCTGAGGAACCCCGAATTCGGGCAGATGTTTCTTTTAGCACTCACTGTCTTCAGAGCATCCACAAGTGTCATGTTTTCATGGATCATTAAAAAGGCAAGCACTAAAGTTGCTGAGCGGCTCACTCCCATGGCACAATGAACGAACACCTTACCTGCACAAACAAAAAAGCACAGCAAGGTGAGTGTGCTTTACCATTTCTAAAGTGGAAAAGACAAAGGGAGGAGAAAAAAAATTAGTAGAAACAAGTTAAGAAAGCAATGGTGACAATTATGGATCTTCATGCTTTCAAGAAAACTACCTCTCAGGCAAGGTAGTATTTCATACTAATCTCCTGCATCTAATTTAGGCCTAAGATTGAAATAGTTGAAATTTTCTGTGGAAGGAGAAGCTTTCTGGGACTAAACTTGTTAGTATAGTTTTCTATGGAAAAAAAAAAAAAATTGGCAGAAAAATTTGGCCCAGCCCTGACTGTGATCACTGGCAAGTCCCACAAACTCTGTGGGATAGTCTGCCTGTAAAAATGGAGTTGTAATTTACTGTATCTCAGCAGCCCAGTGTGAGCTATAACTGAGGATTTAATAAAGCACTCCAGTGAAAGCAGCAGATCCTGCAGCCAGTCAGAGTCAGAGCAAACTCTGGAACAAATGGAAATTATGATAACTAGGCCCTAATCCAAACTCTGCTGACAAAAATTCAGCAGGCTGCAGGTCAGGCTCATAGTTTTTGACTTAGTTCATTAACTTCTGCTGCTTCTCTAGCTTAATAGACAGGCTGAATAAAGCTGCAATTCTGTGAAGTACTTGAGCGTGTGAAGCATTCGAGCCAGCTCCGAAGTGCCTCTGCTCCCGCAGGGAGCAGGAGCAGCATGCAGGGCAGGATCCCCAGCTGGAGCCCCTGTCAGTGTGTGCCGGGTGGAAGGGATGTGTGGGAGCACACAGATCCTACTGATTCCTACAGGATGGACTCATGGGGCAGCATCTGCAGTGCCATAAACTTTGTCCTTCCCTCTACACTCTGGTCCCAGAGCTTGCCCTTCTTTCCACCATGCTGGGCTGGGGGCAGGCAGTCTTTTGCAACTGCTGGGGACCTGGCACAGCCACCTTCCCTGCAGCACATGGCATAGGCACCCTTCTCCAGCCTCTGCTCAGTGGTTCTGTATGTGCTCCCTTGAACCATATGCTGATTCTGAGCTCTGTTGGTGCCTGTTACTGCAATGAAAAGTCATTTGGCTTGCATTGTAATTTCCCCTCAAAGCTTCTTCCCCTTTGCTTCTCTCTTACCTCCTGAAGAGTTTAAGGCCTTGCCTATGAAATTGGCAGCATCATAGAAGAAGATACTTAAATCGAAGGAAGGATCATCAAATGCTTCTATTCCATAGTACTCTATTTGCAGATCTGCATAATAGTTGGCTCCCGTGTTGATGCTATATGGTCCATCTGCTGCATTAAGGATATGAGTAATGTTGAGGCTTCGAAGTGTAGCTTTGCTCCTAGCAGCCCACCTGTTGAAAGACATGAAGGGCACATTGGCAACGCTCCTAACATTCTGCAAAAATAGCATGGTTTAAAGTTAGTGCCTGCTCCTACTACGGAAGGATGCAGAAACTGCATCCTGCTTACAGAGGAGCAAATTTCAAGTACAGTGCTTTGCACATGAAAAATATGATATGGAGGTGCGGAGAACAGCAGGAGCACAGACTTGCCAGTGGGATACTGTCAGTTAAGCAAATGCCTCCCACCAGATAATCCCTGGGAACACAGCTTACTGTATGAAGTGGTCAAGATTTTCCTTAAATATTTGTTTAGGAAATATGAGAGCTAATCTGTCATTGATAGGGTGCCTCGTCTCAAGAGTGAGAGTTCACACAGATGCAGCAACACCTTGTTCCTGGTTTGGACATGAAGTGGATGCATTGTGTTCACCAGCTAGGTGAACCCCACTTCCCACCATAAACTAGGATTTATAGGCATTCTACACAATTCTGAACCTTAACTGATATATTCATGAGGAGGAGGAGCTGGGAAAAATGAGCTAATGATCTTGGTAATCTGCAATAATCCAATTGGAAGGAAACAGCAACAAATATTACAGGTCACAAGAATAAGGCATTTACATGAAAATTCATGTTTGATATTTTCAGCTTTATCATCTTTGAAAGAAAGCTTGGATTTGGAATGTCAGGGTCACTATTGTACAATTCATTTGGGTCTTCCTCCTGGATTTTAATCTTGCTACCCCTATTTGAGTGTTAGGGCTATTGGCCTCTTGTCTGCTGTCTTAGAGCAGAGTTTCCAGGCCACATAATGCATCTCAGAATTGACATCAATTTGGCTCATCAGTAGATTCTTTGAGGACTTTAGTCTAGAATACAAATAATTTTTGCCCTGCTAAATCTATGGTGGCTCAAAGAATACAAAAAACCAAGTCAGACATGCTATGAGTAAGTCACCATTTTGTATGTCATGTATTTCTTGACATCCAAGCTCTTTACATCATCAGTTTTGGAAGCCTGTATCGCAAAAACGTACCTGAAGACCCAAAAGCTGCTCCCCAGTAGTACCAGACCCTTTCCTCCTCCTCCTCCTCCTCCTCCTCCCAGGGACTGATAACAGCTTAACAATAGAACCATATGTTCTTACGCATCTCCCAGGTAGATATTTGGCCAGACTTGGTCCACGTGATTATCAGAGCCTCCTCTGAGCCACAGGAGCTGCTGGAGATCTGATAGTGCCGGTGTTTCGTAGGACGTGCTGCTAGTCAGGGATGAAGGGTCTCTGGTGTGAAGCATCTTGCTGCTCCTTTGCATGCACTCAGGCTGTATCAGAGACAGCTTTTCTGAAATGAATTGAAAGGAAATTTTCATACAGAAATACTATTCCCTGGAAAGTAGACCTGTTCATTACCCTCCAAATAGGATTACATTATTAGAACTAGTGTGTGCAGCAGGGCCTGCAGGTGTTGCTAAAAGCATCCAGAGAGCAGGACTGACTCAGGGGTAGGACTGTGCAGACATGTAATTTCTCCCCTGAGAAAGCAGCATAAGATAATGTGATTTAATTTCTTGTCAAGTAACACTATTGGTAAAGAACATCTGCACCACCTGAATGCAGACTGGATGAACCTTGTAGGCACAGCTAACATTTCTCTTTTTGTTGAAGTGCTACCAGAGTATTTGTGTACACTTGATTCTGATTAGTCAAAACTGGAAGTTTTTGAATGCATCAATTAATTGACTTACAAAGTTTCTAGGGCCAAGGTGAAAATCTTAGGATGTGAGCACTATTTGTATGGTGTATGTGTACACACATATAAACAGTGTGTACATACAATTTTATTTCATTTACAGTGATGTATTTAAACACACCTACACACATACATACATTTACACATAGGAAGGATTTTCAAATGCATCTATAAACATATATATATTGTATATGTCTGTATTTACAGAAAGAGAAATTGAAGAAATTGAGAGGATTTGAACTAGTTTTTTCTCTCTCAGTTGAATATCCCTGGACACTTAGCTATACTGGTATTCTTGTGCCTGTCTGTCTCAATCTCTCCTCTGGGAGCCGTTCCACTTTGTATAAATAATGTGATTCCCTCCAGAGAGGGGCCATTTCTCTTGTCTGAGGGGCAGGGTACTTACCCAGGATGTGAGAATAAAAGAGTATTTTTGAAATTCTAGAGCTAAAAGTTCTGACATTGTTGTCCTGTTGACAATCCCATCTAGGGCTCCCTCACAGGTCTCTTGAGATCACAGACCTGTGAACCCTCACAAATCATGCCGTGGAATATGGGCAACCCTTTTGCAATGCTGTTTGCTGGTTTAGACCCAGCAAGCGCAGGTCAGATGGTTCAGCTGGAAGCAAAGCTCAGTCAAGAGCAAGATATCCAAGCAGTCCCTTCTCTGAGACTTTAGGAACATTTCTCCTCCCTGGATCTCATTATTCTGAATTGCTGTTCTTGCCCCCTGAAACTATAAATGAGCTTTATTTTGTTGCTTATTCTTACTAGAGTCATAATCAATGAGGAAGGCACACTAGAACTCTTCCCAGAGTAGGGTAAATTGTATTTATTCTGATATGGCAACAGCTTTCACTCTAATGCCTGAATGCCTAAATCTAAATTTTGGGTTTATTTTCTCAGCAATTTTAGAAAACAAGCGCAAGCGGGACCTTCAGAAGTCATCTGGTCTGTCCCCTACCCCACAGCAGCAGGAGCCATATGGATGTTGCTCGTAAAACAACAACTTTGTCCATGTATGTTATTTTTAACAGTGGAAGCTGATTTGGGGAATAAGCAGAAAACAAGGGAGAATATATTTTTGCTTACAGAAAAAGAAGTGGAGTTGATGTGAGGCATATTACTGAACATACACATATATTTCTGAGTCCTCAGTCTAAATTTGCTTCCTTTGCCCCTTCCTCCCTCCTCCTCCCCACAAATGTTAAGTGCAGTTATAGCTTTTTGTATGTTCCAATAAGAAAGAGGTCTCCCTAGGGTAACTACTTAATAAGCAAGATATGAAAAGCACAATAAAAATGATGGGAGACATAGAAAAAAGAAGACTGGTTTTACTTTTAATGATGGAGGAAAAGAACTGCAGGGAAGTAGAGAGAAATATAGAGATAAAAGCTACGAATTTTTCAGGCAGATAATATAAGATCAAGAGCTTTGGTAAAGGAGTATGTTGTGCAATCCTAGCCCAGATTAGCATGAAGAATAGCACAGAAACACATAGTGTGCATTACCCTACAAGTTTTACTGCCTTGTGAAAGTCATGCACTGTGCTCAAGAGCTACTGCCAGCATCTTTATGATGACCTGTTTGTACTTTCACTGACACAGAACATTAAGCTGAAGAAGTTAAAGAAAATCAAGAATAAGATAATACAGCTTCTCCATCAGGAGATTCATAGGACCACAGGCTCATTTTCAAGGAGTGTAGGTGACTCTGAGTTACTTCAAATACTAAAGGGCTGAAGTTGTGGAGCAGATGGATACCAAACTTTCACTTCTTCTAGACCCTGCTGCTTTTAACTTCTATTGTAGCCTCTCAGAGATGATAAGCAAAGAGAATTAGATTGTGTGGCCACTTGTTCAAGACCTGACTTTGAGGAGGTTCTCCCAAAACTGAGTCATTTTTGTGCCAGTGACACTTCACAGGTGACTCTGGCCTTTGCAGCCAGGGAAATGCTTTGCAACAGAGCTCCCTTTCACAGAGCAATCCTCTTTCCAAAAGGTGTGCCAACATTGTTTTATTCACATGCCTAATGTCAGACGAGTGAGCTCCTTGTGTCAACACAAGCACAGCTCCTCCCAAGAACACAGCTCCCGTCTGCGCTGCACTGCCTTGAAATTGGATTGCTCTGCAGGGCCTTCAGGGTAAGCCTGGAAATAACTATAGCAGATGATTGGACTAATGAGGAAAGCAATATGAATTTTTTAATTGAAGGCCAGGGACTTTGGTGAAGGTTTCCCCCCCACCTTCTACTTTAAGATACTGCAGAGGTAGCAAAAGTGCTGCCACTGATTACATTTCTCTAAGCTTCTCCCTCCCTCTGGGTGGCTCCCAGAAGCTGCTCTAGTTGGAAACAGTCAGTGACAGCAGGAGCGCAGGAATCCCTGTACCTGAGGGGAAAATTTCTGTCTTACAAGGTCACTAACATTTTCTGCAGAGATCTAAACCATGCAAGTTGGATAGGATTACTTTTCTTTTAAACTGTCGCCACCTCATTAGCTCCTTTCCTTTCCTTTCCTTTCCTTTCCTTTCCTTTCCTTTCCTTTCCTTTCCTTTCCTTTCCTTTCCCTTTCCCTTTCCCTTTCCCTTTCCCTTTCCCTTTCCTTTCCTCATTCATTTCCACTTTCCTTCCCTTCTTTAATATTTCTTATCTTTCTTATCTCTCTTTCTTATAATTCTATCTTTCTTATCTTTCTATCTTTCTTTTTTTTTTTTCTGCTTAAAAACAAAACAATGGAAACAAAAAAATTCAACCTATGGGAGACTTTTGAGGTTAGACAAAGATTTTAATGGCAATCCACAAAACACAAGGTAGCACACAAGCTTTAAAATGGTCTTGTCATTTTGTATCATGTCCCACCCAGCTGGAGCACTGGGGTACAGCCCGAATGGCCAGGGCTGGGATCCAGCTTGGATCCCTGTCTGGCCTGTGGAGCCTGGGTTTCCCCAGTGGTCCAGGAGTTGCCCTGGAGGTCCAGGCTGGAGATGGCTGTGGGTGACACTGCCTGGCTGCAGGGAGCACCCAGGAAAGGCTGTGGGTCATCCATGCTGTTTGCATGCAGCTGGGGGCAGCTCCTGAGGGACTCAGTCATGCCAAAACCTTGTCTAAAACAACCTAGTGGAGCTTTGTATCTCCCCAGTATTGTCCAACCGCTTGAATACTACAGTCTGCAAAGTTTTTTGGTTTGTTGGTTTGGTTTATTTTTTTTTCCCTTCCTTTCTCTATGGTGAAAATGATTGTCATTTTCTATTGAACATCTCTGGCAAAAAAAAAAAAAAAAAAACCAACCCCCCCCCCAAAAAAAAAAACAACAAAAAAACCCCAAAACAAAACAACAACAACAAAACCACAAAAAACCAAAAAACAACAACAACAAAAAAGAAAATAAAAGTAAAAACCCATATAAACCCCCCAGTGACTTGAATTGGCTAAAGCATTTAATAGATTTGTATTGCATTTGCAGATTCTAGTGGAAAAAAACTCAGCAAAGTTTTGGGGGTAAAAACGCAAACACACCAATATTGTAGATATGAAATAGATAATTTTGTTATTTCAAAAAAAAATTACCATTTCCATTTTTCCATTCAGTTACTTTGTTTTGCAATTTGTTCTCCCGCATTGCATAAAATATTTTAAACATTAATACAAGATGAAATGGCTTGCTCCTGGTTGAGAAAAATATGTTTTATTTCACTAACAATGAACACAGACTGAATAGCCACCTATTTGCCTGTGACAGGGCCTCCTGCCATTTTGCCATGGCTGTTCCCTTGTCTCCTCAGATGGAACTGAGTTGTAAAGAGATTAAATGAACATCTGGAGTCCCAAGAGGAGTCTGACAGGACATTAGTTGGACCCAAATCATCTTTCCTCCTTCCCTTTTGCTAGCACCTTCCTGGCTGGCACAGCTCTGCCTGTGGTTATGCTGATAGCCCAGATGGGGACAGGTGTCTTTCAGTAACAAGTTCTTACATGAGATTATTGAGAGCCGCAGGCACAGCAGAGCCTGTGGATACTACAATAGCACAAACACTACCTAACAAAAACATGATACAGAAAGCTCCTGCAGCCAAATATCCTAAATTCCCTGTATCAAAAACCTGACAAACTAAATGGTTCAAAATTCCAAAGCATGGGGTCAGAATATAATTCATGTGGAAGGGAAAAAAATTTAAAAACAGCCTCTTGATGCATTTGAAAATGCTGACTACTCTGTTTTTTCTTCTCTTTTCTCTCAGCAAGCATATCTGCACTCATCTTTTACACTCCTTGCTCTTTTCTCTCAGGTAGTGTGTGACACTATGGCTCTTTGTCCTCCTGATGGAAAATTCCAGATGTAAAGAAGTGTGTTTCACAAGGAAATGATCATGTTAGTGGAATTAATCTTTTAGATACTGTAACGTGAAATATGATCTTCCTTTTTGTTAAGAAGACCCAGTCTGTGTCTCTACATTTTGGTCAGACTCTGACACTAAGAGAACCCAGGAGTCTCTTGAGGTAGAGCTGAAAGCTTTGCGTGCAGAAACAGGCACATTTAAAAGCAGTAGCAAAGTTAAAACAGCCAGATGGGAACCTAGCAGGCAAGCGAGAG